AAAGCTGGATCCGCCCCTGGTAGGACTGGTCATTATCATAACTTTCGGGGGCGCTTTTTTCCAACCCCCGCCGCCAGAAGAAAAACCTTCACAGCCCTCTTTATTGACACACATCAGGCCGCATCAAATGTGCCCTTAAACCGGCGCTAGGGTGACTCTGTTGTCTGATATCGATTTTTTTTTGTTTCAGGTAAGCAATGGTTTCTTTCCTCTTTCGTGCCGAACATAAGGGTAAGTCCCACAAAATGTCTGCAAATGCAGTGGGGGGCTGGCTTTAATCGCGTCTAATTTTCCCGATGCAATTTCCTCGATGGGCCAGATGAAAAATCTGCTGCGTTTTATCCAGGCGAAGGAAATTTGTTTCATCGGGAAGACGGCGCTGAGAGTAAATAACGATCTAATCCACTAACAGGATATTTGTCTTATCAGAACCTTCCTCTCGAGCAATTTTTCGCGTCTCTCGACGTTCCGTGAGCATTTGATTGCGATTTTCCGGCCTCTTAACAGTGCATTTGAATGATAAAACCCTCCGGTGTCTACCGTTCTTGAATGTTTAAGTCGTTGCAAAAATTGAGTCTGTTTTGAGCCAACGATGGCTTTTAAATTGCATGCAAAGTGCAATATCACTTTCAGATCGACGAAAAACGCCGTTTGTTTTGCTGTTAAAGGCTAAAGAAGTGTCACTTCTGTAGCTTTGTTTGTTACCTGACCGAATTTTTGGCTATTAGAAAAGTTCGTGTGGAAGGTGAAAAAAATTATTTGGGTTTTTAGCCATTAACTTTTGTGGATTTATTGCCCTGTAGTTTGGCTGTTTCGACGAATTTCCTTTAACTTGAAATATCATTTGAAATGTGAAAACTTTCCTTTTCTTCAACTTGTTTGAAAATTTAAATTTGACAAAAAATTGAGCAGGTTTTGAGTTAAAAACCTGTGTTGGGTGCTAAATTCTAACATTGTCCGGATAAATCGCCTTGTAGTTTAGCTATTAAATTTTGGGAATCTTAAAACCTCATTTGAAAGCTGCAAACCTTCCTATTCTTCAGTTCTTTTAAAAATTAAAATGGGTGGAAAATTGGGCAATTTTCAGTTAAACAACATTGTTCGGATAAAACCGTTTAAGGGGATTTTCGGAATCTTAAAACCTCATTTGAATGGTGAAAACCTTCTTTTTCTTCAATTTATTTTAGCGTGTTAAATCGGTAACAAACTGAGCAGGTTTTGAGCTAAAAAGTGTTAAATTCTAAATCGCCGTATAATTTTGCTATTTAAGGAAATTTTCGTTATCTTAAAACGACATTTGAATGGTGGTACCATCATTTTCTTCAGGGTTTTTTTAAATTTATGTGCGTGAATTTGAGCAGTTTTTGGGATCAAAAGGGTTTTGCGCGGTAAATTCTAACATTCTCCCGATAAATGGCTCTGCAATTTGGCTATTTAAGTCAATTTTCGGAATCTTAAAAATCTCCCTATTCTTCAGTGCTTTGGAATTTTTCTCCTCGCTGCAGAATTGAGTTGGTTTTGAGTTAAAAAGTGTCTTGGGCGTTCAACTCTAACATTTACTTCTCAAATCGCGCTTAAGTTTTGCTATTTAGGAAATTTTTTGTTACCTTAAATACTTATTTGAAAGATGAAAACCGTCTCATTCTTCATTTATTTTCGAAATTAAAAATCGCTGTTAAATTGAGTTGGTTTTGAGGTTTAAATTTATTCACTTTCTGGACAAATCGTCTGTAATTTCGTTACTTTTGGGAATTTTGGCATCTGAAAAACGCATTTGAAAAATCAGAAGTTTCTCTTTCATGGATTTCTTGGAAAAAATTGCCCCTCTCTTGCTGAACGGTAAAACTTGGCGATAAATTGCGGTCTTTTGAGCCAATAACCGCCTAAAAAGCGAAAAATCCCCCCATCTTCAAACCCGATTTGTAAACTTAAGAATCTTCGCCCCTAGTCCAGTTTTCCACATCCAGAAAGGTTCTATAATGCAAACATTCAGCTATCGATCCTCGTATAAGTTGGGCAAGAACGGAACAAAGTTTCTAGTCGTTTCGTTGAAATTGACCGTAAACTTGTCGTTGCGATGAATTGAAATGTAAAATATGCCCACGTTTCAGTAGCAAGATCCGCATTAGTGTTAACATAAGCACAATCAATTATTGTTGAGTGCGACTTCATTATCCCACATGTGACAAGATGGTCATTTCAATCATCATTAGCGCCCGGCTCTTGCGTGCTGATATGGCGAATTTGAACCAAGTTGCCAGCTACCAATCCGTCCGGTTTTCCCGATTTAGGTCTGAGTGATTCGGACCCTTTTGGTTCACTAGATCGGCAGGTTGAATGAAAGAGGCCAACATAATTGATGTGTTTTATTGATATATCTACATAATACATGAAATGTACATTAAAAGTCTGTAAAATCTATACATGTCAGTCCCTTTGAGGTACTTAAACCCGATTCGCCGCGATTGGTACCCAACTAACTAAAGCGCCAGTACCTCCCGAAAGTATCCGATCTAGGCTTGGCTGGACAGCGAACTTGTTCGCATCAAATACGGAAAATCATATTACATATGCTCATGTATCACATATTATATACGTAGGATAGCTTATAGAAGGGAGGCTTTTCAAAACTTTTGTACTTTGAACTTAATTGGAATGGTTACAATAATATAGGTTAGTAGATATACAACGTTTTGATCACACCTCGTTTGATTAGCTGGACACGACGATATTTATACACGCGCTACACATCCGAATACTGAACACAAAATTCCTCGGTTTTTAGCAAAAATATATATTATACCGCGCCGCCACTATATGCAAAATATAGATTTCTTCATTGTTTTGTTTTTTCAACTACAGCGCATCAAAGGCGTCCAATCCACCTTCTAACATACAATACAACCTAACTATAATGAAACAAATAAAATTAAATAACAACAAACAATGTGGTAAATCAAAAGCACCTCTTAAGTTCCCGGGAACGGTCTAGATAAGCCTACAGACTAAGGACGAAGACAGTAGTAGTAATTAATCATAATATTAATAAACAGCAAAAAGTCCAAATGCCGGCACAACAGTCGCCCCCTATTTACACAGTCTATTTACAACGCACTAAACTAAACAGACCAGTTATACAGAGCGATTCAATACGCTTCTTCATATACAGGGTGATTCCTTCCGAATGGGAAAGCGGAAAACTGGAGATACTACACGCCAAATATGGGTGGCCACTGGTGCAAACCCATATTTGAGGTATGCTAGCTCCAGTTTCCGGATTTCCCACTTTGAATGCAGTACATTACGGTGTTTCCTGTGGAAATTCAGGAGTATTTCATTGCAGATTTTAAGGTGAATTATTGAACGGGAAACTTAGGTGTCTGTCCTGGGCCACCCTATATATTTTTCCCAATTACGCCCCTTGTATGTAACTTAAAGTATAATCTAAAAAGTAAATTATCCCAATGGGAGGACCCGCGTTCGAAGCCCCGCCCACTTTAACTGAAGGGAGGCGTGATCTGCACGCAACAATCACTCTGTATGAAAAACTGCCAACTAAAAGTCTAAAACAAGCTGCCCGGTTTCTGGGAAAACTGCGAAACTTATGTGAGCCTGAGCACTATGGGAATGCAGGCCAGTGTCGTGGCTAATAGTGGGGGTAAAGTGGTGGCGCTGGACGCTGCAGCGTCCGGCTTCTTGGCCAATGAGGACGCGATTCTTACCTCGTTCTCTTGTTCTTTGGGGTTGGCCGCATGCAGCTCTTCCTGCTTCCGTCGCAGCACCACCTCAGGGGCCGCCATGGGCGTGGCTTCTTGCGTGGTGGTCGATTTGCTGGTGGTGGTTGTGGTGGTGGTCGTGGTGGTGGTAGTGGTGGTTGTAGTTGGTACGTAGCTGTTGTTATGGAGGAAATAGACTGGGCTGAAGTCGAACGCGACGTCCACCATTTTGTTCTCCCTTTGGATGTCCTCGATGGTAAAGTCCAACCGCTCGCCGTCCTTGTAGATCGCTACAACTGTTGCGGTGTAGGGGACTTCGGTCTCCGTGTAGTTCCCCACTAGGCTGATGTTGACTGCTGTGCCTTCATCCAGGTATTTCTCCACGGGAAGCGTTTCCACTTTGTCCTCCGGCGTGGGCAGCGCCCATGTTCCATTGAGTCGTTTTCCATTGGGGAGCACCACTGTGAAGGGCAGCCCAGTGAGCATTCCATGCCCTTTCCCCCAGCTAAGGAAGTAGGTGTAGTTGTAGGTCATCACGCTTTCCACTCGCTGAATGCCCGATTCGTCGTTCTTCAGAATAGTCTGCGCCAATGTCAGCCTCTTCTTCGGAAAGCGCCTGCCAGTGCGCTTGAGCTTGATCTGCCGAAACTCGTAGGCAATCGGCTCAGTTTCCACCAGGATCTCGCCCTCTTCGAAGGTGATTTCGTTGTTGTTCTCGTCCACCAGATGGTACATCCCGAGGTTCTCAGACGGGTTGAATGTGCCCACGTAGTGGCTCAAAGCGCCCCCTTCTACGGGTTTTCTCGCCACAAATGTCTTGAGTAGGTTCTCGCCGCTGGTCACGGCGCCTTGCGGGATATTCGTGTACTTGCTCTTGCCCACCCAGCTCAGCCTGGCGCTGTGATCAATGTTGATCAGCACCTCGAAATGGCGATAATCCTCCACTTTCTTGTAGAGCGAAGTGGTGCACACTTGGTTGCGGGAGCGCAACTGCCCAGTTACCCAAACTCCAGTTACTCGGGCGCGGCAAATGTAGACGGGTTCCTGTTGTTTAGCGATGTCGTTCTCCTCTCCGGTAAGGGCGGGCTCGTTCGAACCTGGAATTAAATACGCTGGATGGGTTCAGGTTGGGCTAATTGAGTTTGAGTGACTTACCGTCGACGGTTTGGTAAGCCGCGATCACCGCGTACTTGAGTATGGAGGAGTCCCGGCCGTCGGTGGACACCCATTGCAACGTGGAGGAGGTGACCGTTTGCTCCAAGTTGTAGGAAATTATGTGGACTGGATCGCTGGTGGCCAGCGCAATGGCGCCCAACAGCAGCAGCAGCTTTAACATTGCTGGTCTGCAAAAGGAAATCGGAATTGTTGAATTCAGATTGACGCGCTAGCCCACAGTCGATTCATCCTTGTCTATCTCGCACGTTTTTCAATCTCTTGTCGCTTCATAGGGGCAAGCAGTTGGACACCAATCAATTAAAATAAAAAGCTTTATTTTATTGCCCTGTAGTTTGGCTGTTCAGACGAATTTCCTTTAACTTGAAATATCATTTGAAATGTGAAAACTTTCCTTTTCTTCAASTTGTTTGAAAATTTAAATTKGACGAAAAATTGKGCAGGTTTTGAGATAAAAACCTGTGTTGGGTGCTAARTTCTAACGTTTTCCGGATAAATTGCCSTCTRGTTTRGCTATTTAAGGAAATTTTGGGAATCTTAAAACCTCATTTGAAAGCTGCAAACCTTCCTATTCTTCAGTTCTTTTGAAAATTAAAATGGGTGGAAAATTGGGCAATTTTCAGTTAAACAAGATCATTGTTCGGATAAAACTGTTGTAAGGGGATTTTCGGAATATTAAAACCTGATTTGAATGGTGAAAACTCTCTTTTTCTTCAATTTATTTTAGCATTTTAAATCGGTGACAAACTGAGCAGGTTTTGAGCTAAAAAGTGTTAAATTCTAACATTGCGCGGATAAATCGCCGTATAGTTTGGCTATTTAATGGAAATTTTCGTTATCTTAAAACGACATTTGAATGGTGGTACCTTCATTTTCTTCAGCGTTTTTGAAAATTTATGTGCGGGAATTTGAGCAGTTTTTGGGATCAAAAGGGTATTGCGCGGTAAATTCTAACATTCTCCCGATAAGTGGCTCGGCAATTTGGCTATTTAAGTCAATTTTTGGTTTTGTTGACCAKTTTTGGTTTTGAWTTTTGGTTKTTKKTTTGGATTGTTTTTYWRSATTGTWTYTCTTGTCGCTTCATAGGGGCAAACAGTTKGACACCAATCAATTAAAATAARAAGCTTGGSGTTTTAGTTGATATACTGGGCGTTAAGGTSTTGTGTACTGTTAGATGGGCTGTGAAAGCTATAAATTTATCTTGACATTTTTCGCGTAAAAGACCTCCAGATCGTCAGTATTTTTAAGTGAAACTYGCGCACTTGAAGATTTTCCTTGCGGTAGTGAACGTTTGCATTCTGGAAGTGAGCAAGTTTCATTGAAATTGCACTGAATGTTGATTTTTTGCTGCTCTTTAAGCGCGGGTCTAACAAATGTTGTTTTAGAGAAAAAGCGCGCTCTCCTTAAAACATTCAGAGCGATGGGAGGCGAATTTTACAAAATTGTTTTTAACTTTTGCTCTCTGGTCGGTTTCGGTTTTGAGAAAATCTCAATGGGTTTCGGGGAAAAACAGGAGCAACTTATTTTCGGGCCAAGAGGGTGGCCAAAGTTCAAAATCAATAACCCTGTAAAAGTTATACACTGCGCGCTCTCGGCCCCCAATCTCTAAAACGGTTTAACGTAGGTATAAAAAAAATTTGAAACAAAAGCTGTAGATAATTTAATTCGCTACAATATTCATAATGAATTCAAATACCGTAAAACTTGCAGGAAACTCAATATTTGCAAAAAATGCGCAAGAAGACGTTTTTTTGACTTTTGAACTTAGTCGTCTACAGTCGCGTCCACACGATCATAAGTAGACGTTGTTTGTTTGAGCCAAGTTTTACGATGTTCAGATAAAGATTTATACGAGTTTACAGCTTGCTATCTTGGATTCCGAGGTGAAACACTGATTTGACCGGACTAGTTGCGTTTTACGTTTGAAGCTTTGAAGAGCACACTTTGAGAATTAACCACAAATAGCTGGTTTGGTTGGTTAAGTTCCCCTGTATGTGTGTGAGTAAGCACAGTTATTAACAGAAACATTATTTTATAGCGTTTTAAGAAAAAAAACGAGTTGGGTTTAATATTATAATAATATGACATACACCAGATTTCTTCAACACGTTGCATTCAGCTGCACATGTACCCGTAAATGTTGCTTGATGATGCAATACGTGATTGAAAGCAAACCCCGAGCTCGATTATATTATTATTTAAGTGGTTTGATTGATAACAAGTGACCCCATGTCGGCTAGCGCGCTCTTCGAAAATGCCCATGATTATTATCTCAGCCGCTCATAAAATTAGAAATAACGGTAAATGAATAGCGGGCCGATGGATCATCGTAAATAATCCACGAACCACGAAAAATCCATGTGGGCGGAGCACAAACACGTCCTGTCCCGTTCCGTTCCGGTCAGTTTTGGTTTATTTTATTGTCTGTGCTTCAACCAAGTCCATTGTTGGCATCGGAATTGTGGTTTTCGGGCAGAAGCTAGTTCTTCTATTACACCTCACAAATCCTTTTTTTCGGACTGTCCTACGCTGGCCACATTTTCGCATGAATGAGGAAAAATGAGTCCACTACAGACCAAAGTATGCCAGTAGGTCCAGCAATTGTTCCCTAGACCAAAGGTGTTCTTTTGACATTTGCGACTGTATATTGGAACCATTCACACGCAACTAACGGTTCCAGCTGGTTCCAGCCGATTGGCCACGAAATGATCAATTGCTGGAGGTGGCCAGAAAAAAAGTAGCGTCTTTCTACATGGCCAAGTGCGAGCCATCTCAGCTCTCATATGCTTCTTGAATGTAAAGGGGCCCAGTGGGCGATGTCTCGGCTTAATCGAATTAAATTCTAATTGAGCCTGGTGCCCTTCAAGCACTTATCAGAACAGGTCATCTCTTTACAGCCAATTAACCACATCTGGAGGTTGCATTCCATGTGTTTTGTGCATTAGTTGCAACTGTTGGCAAACAACGTAAAAATCCAGAGGATGAAAGCTTGGAACTTTTGGAGGACATTTGGCCGGTGGGTTCATATCAACTGGTGGATTCACACGGGTTAGGGACATTTATCATTTTCCCAGCTGGGCTTGATTCGATTCAATGCTTGGCAGGTAAATTTCGTTTTTTGGGGGAACTGGCACCGGGGTTTCTTTGCATTTAAAGCTCTGGCAGATCGCCGATATACAGGCGCCAGATATTAAAAGAGGAAAACGATTACGCTAATAAGGAATTCCTGCAAGCCCAAGATCACCGCATACTTAATATATATCCGTTCCAATTTCTCTGCAACGATACGTGCAAATGTTTTTCGCCAAGGTTGAATGCATGATTGCAATGATGCAACTGCAAATTGCCCGTGAGTACGTTCCAGTTTCCCGTATTGATTATCTCCATTTGCAACGAGGCGGATAATTAAAACTGAACCTGCGGATTCTTCAGTTTTCCCTCATTATTAGCCGAGTGGTTGAACTCTGCAGCACCTGCAAACGCCGTAAACATGACCTTTAATTTCGGGCTTCACTGTCGCTTTTACGACCTTTAAAATTGCCCATGCAAGGCTCACATCATTTGCCGCAATATGCCACGAAATATGGTTGAGGCAACGGATAAACTAGCGCAATATCCGTTACAATTCGCTGAACCAGACGGGGTTTTGGTTCGAATTCTGCCGGCAAGTGAACCTTCTTGTTTGCTGTTGGATTATTGACCCAAACGATTGCAGGACGAGTAAATCCCCGGTTTATTAAGGAAAAATCCTGATGTTCCTCAAGTCGGTGTTTTGCATCAGTTTCTATTTTTTACAAGGCTGTCAAAAAGCCAAGATTGTAAAAGTTTCAATTTTATCCGAGAATCCGAAGGGTACTTGAAAAGCTTGCGAGTTTTCAGAGCAAATTTCTTGAGTAAAAAGCGCAAAATTAGGACATTTGTCTGGTCCAAAACCAGAACTTTGACTGGATCTTGTTTGATAGAAGCCTCTGATATGCACGCTTGAAACTTTTGATTTCATCAGACATTTCACCGACTACTTGAAATGTTTGCTCGTTTTCGAAGACGCTTTTTGGATATGTTCCTCGTCCAAAACCAAATCTTGCTTGATCGAAGCGTCTGGTCTGCGCAATAAAAAGGATTCAATTTAATCAAAGAGCACTGGAAATGTTGAAACGTAAAACAAGAGGATGTGTCCTGTTCTTTAATGGAAAAATTGTAAATTTCAATGAAGGAAATCTTGTCGAAAACCCCATAAAAGACTTGTTAGCCAAAGAACAGTCTACCTGGATTAGAGGACATTTTTGAAAGTTTCTGCTGTAGAACTCAGTGATATTTCCAAGCAATCAAGAGCGTACTTGAAACATTTCAAGTTCTTTGCGGACTTTTGCGCGACTTTTGCTTTTCAGCGACTTTTGCGAGCTTCTAAAAGGAGACTTCAACTGAAAATACTCCCGCTTAGAACTTTGCTTTACAGGGGCGTTCCGAAAAATGATGTTTTGCAACAACGCCTTAGGAGTAGTCGATAGATCACACCTGCGATTACTTTCGATAAAAGCAACATTTGCTTTAAAAACCCGGCCGAGATTGTTGGATATTTGAAATGGAGATTGGCCGGTCTGAACCGATAGAAAACCTGTTAAGTGACCAGGTTCTTACCGGCCGTAAATTTAGACGCGTTACGGTTACCGTGAATAATCGGCAATTGCCCACCAACTAACTGTACCAGTTGAAGAATAATAATGGAAAAAACAGCATTCCATCGTACTGTACGGTTACAGTTGGTGAAAAAATCGGGACAGTGCAGCATTTGGCAATAGCGCCTTTTCCAGCTGAACAATTGCCGGCAACAGGGGAAAATGAGCATTTTCAATAATTCCACTAATATAAAGGATTGTGTTTAGTGAAAGGCGAGAAACGAGTTGTAAAAATGCGCTTCACTGTGCACGTCTTCTATTTACACCATTACCGTTTTGCGGCCAATCGCGACTATATTAATTGATGGCAAATGCGGTAATTTGTTACCGGACAAGTTTACTGAAGGTTTTATCGGCCATTTAATTTTCCACACGTGAAACTTGTGTACTTTGTTGATAAACAACCAGGGTCAATTATGGCGCTATTGGTACCCATTTAGAGCCAATTAGCGCCTACTAATCAAACTTTCATTGGAATCTGTGCTGGATTTTTT